CATTTCCAGAAAAAGATGACGCTTATTCGCGATCTGCTCAGAAGTCGCCAACTTATCGCGGCTAAACGGCGACTTTTTCGAAAAACGCGATAATCGCCGATTTTTAAACGACATTGAAGACATGGGTTGATTTCGCAAAACCCATTAAATGCCCTATTTTTCATTTCTTCAGTGATTCTCATAACGATGAGTGGGTAGGAAAGATGATCGTATGTCAACTTGCTTTTCTTAAAAATGCGTTTAAAAAGTATAGAAATGTTGACTAAAAATTTCAAAATGCTGTTAGAGTTAGCTGAAGCATATATGATGACAAAAACCCGATATCTAAGGTACCGTTATTTGCAGAGATAATTGAAGAAGAAAAATTACTTGCCGCAGTATGCTCAATCTTTACACATACTGTAGATACAAACTATTCCGAAACATTATTTATCGTGATATTGAATGGTTCGATAAAAAACCTATTGGAGAAGTGTATGAATACCTGGATAAACATCTCAATAATATACGAGATGGTATCAGTAATAAAATGTCGGACCTTTTGACGACATTATCTATGGCGTTGGGATTGCTGGTATTTGCCTTAATTGTTGGATGGGAACTGACATTACTATTTTTGAGTATGTCACCACTAGTCATTATTATAGTAGTTGTTACGGGGATTGTAAGTTTGAAGATGCATACTTCTCTGAATTATTTCCATAAGGATTTGTATTTATTAGGTAGTCGCCCGCTATACAGAGAAAGAATTACTAGTGTACAGTAATGCTGGGCACATTGCACACGAAGCGTTATCAGCAATAAGAACATTGTGCTATTCATAAATTACAATATTCTTGCAGTATGGATACTAATAGTTTTAGGCTGAAAATTTGAACAAATAGTAAAGGAATGATTTGCATAAATCATTTAAAAATGGCGTTTCGAAAGTTGTCCTCCTTTGTTATGAAGGAGCAAATATAACAGTGATCCCATATTATTTATGAATGACGAGTAGTAACAGCATTCAATGGTCAACAGAAAGAAGCAGAAAGGTACGGATGTAGTTCGAATAAGAAGAAAAGAACCGAATATTGACGGAAGAAAGTTTACTACCTTTGGACGATTTGCGCATGTTTTCTCACGCTAGTTCGAACTCTATGCTAAGGGAATCTTTTAATCCAAATCGGACACAACTACATTCGTTTCAAGTTCAGATTCGAAACTCAAAGATAAATCAGTTTTGTATGGGTTATGGTTCATATAACATCGACCATTCGACTAGGATATTTAGACGCTACGATAGAGTCTGTTTGGTCCGAAATGGTTAAGGAGGGTTCTATTTCTCGGTTCTTTTATCGTTTTGTAGAGGACAGTTTGAAATAAATATGAAAAACTGTTTTCGGTCACGGAACTTGCGATTTTTGAGAAAAAAATTCTAAATTTTTTCTTGTTTTCTTGTCGTGTTGCTAAAAGTTCAGTAAAATTTTCAAATTTCTACTAATGAGCTCGATTTTGATATCAATGAATAGTGGACATCAAGATTATCTATAAAAAAACTAAGTAAAGTTTTGACTGAGTTATTCCGCTTTGACCTGCCGCATGGAACATTGAAGCAAAAAGTAGTTTTGAAAGTAGCTTGAGCCAAATCTCGTCCGAAAAAAGCATTCTTAAGGAAAAATGTGGTTGCAAAAGTTGTTGAGAATCAGATTTCCAAGAATATCAAAGAGGGATTTTTCAAAATTCATTAAAACGCAATTCTTATTAATTAAGTATTTGCGACATTTTAAAAATTTATAAGCCGTGTTTTTAGTTCAAAAGTCGAGGTTAACGAATTTTAAAACATCTTTCATTCCTATTTCAGAGAATCTGATTCTCAGGAACTTTTGTACCCACACTTTTCCTTGAACATGCTTTCTTCGAGCGAAATTTGTTCACGCCTAGACGATTTTGCGCTTCGGAACTCTGAAAATCGTTACTTTTTCCGATTTTTGACACTTCCGATCGATTCCGTAAGTGAAAGTGTCTATGTTCTATGAGTTTCAGATTTCCTGGATACTTTCTTTGGGCTCAAACGAAAAGGGAAATTATCATCAAATTTTGAGTGCCTGTGCTCCGCAGTGCAGCGTCTCAGTATTTTTAATTTTAAAGATTGAGGTCAAGGAATTTAGCAACAGCAAAGTACTATTCCATAGAAAAAACATGATGAACGACTTCTACACTCACATCTACGCTCTAAAATGCTTGTCCGTGGAGAAACTGCAGGCAGTATATCGAAACAGCACACTTAGGACCTCCAAAACCCATTCTTCTCAAGGACAAATCTGAATTTCTCCGTCAAACCTTGTCCGGGAACGATGACAATCTTCTCACATATCCATTTCGCGGCGCTCTACCGATGGGTTACAAAACCGAGATTTCAAACTAAAAAGTAAAACTTTTATTTAAATTTTAAAAATCGTGCAAAAAGGCCGAAAAGAATTAACCATTTTATTTTCTAGAAAACTAAAACTACATAAACCCCAAACTCTTTTCATATATATTTTGAAGTGTCCTCTATAATCTGAGAAAGTTTGAACCACATCGGTTCAAGATGAAAGTGAGCCCCCCCATTGCATTTCGGCGGTTTCAGCGGTTAGAGAAGCACTGTCATACATTACGAGGGTTCGACCTAGTCATATGAGTCGTTTATAAATCGTTTTTCAGATATGAAGAGAGTTTAATACAAGTGAAGCGCATCGGGGTCAAAAAAGGTGTCTATATTGCATTATGTACGGCATTATCAAATTTCGCTTTCTATCCAGCGTTGGCGATTACGTATTGGTATGGTCCACATTATTTTTTCAACGGTAAGCCTAAAGTCGAGACAAACTTTGCTCTAATCTGCTCAAGATGCCAAGAATATTTTGAATCCATTGTCTCGATCTTTTTGCGGTGAGTGTGAGACAATGCTCAAAACGATTTTGAGTTTGAAAATCTTCCATGCACACTGAACAGATGCTCTGGAGTGGTCAGACGATGACCATTGTGTGAACCCTTCTCTGCCTTAAAAGCGGGTAACCAGGTATATGATTAGAATCCGCAACTTTCACTCACTTTTCTCACCATTATTGCACCGCACCAAGTTGCAGGATTAGAGAAAACAGGCTATTCGTACCTTTCGTGAAAACTTCCAAGGCGTTGTTCGTTTTCCAAAGGAAATGGAAATTTGCAGTTTAAGTTTAAAGAGAAGATCTGCCAAAATAAACCAGGTGCATCAAATTAAAACTAGATCTATGCAAACAATTGTGAATAAACTGCGATTTCTTGATTTTCCTCTTTTCAATGTCATATCCTCCTTCAGCCCATAACATAAACATCGGTGGAATCAGAAAACAAATGCTTAATTAATCGAATGCTGAATTCAATGCCTTAAAGTTTATCATTTATCGATGAGAAAACCGGTCAAACCCGATAAGCAATGAAACTGGATATCTGTAATTGTATCACATAATGACTATTCACTACATAACTTCGCCCTTGTTACAAAACATGATATACAAAATACAAAACCAGGCTCATTTATTCTTCTTTTTCAATAAACGAGTCTTCGCGGTAATGTCGTGTCACGTAGAACTAGGTTCTAGACTTCTGCAGATTGAAACTGAGAAAAACACTTATTTTAGCGCTTTTCGACTTAACGTACCAGAAAAGCATTTGCTTTGTTCTACGCTGACTTAGTACAATCCGTTTTGGTATTTTGATCAATACTTTACCGTCGACTTTTCCTAGGAAATGTTTTTACTAGACGCTACAATAGCTATGTCATTTGCTCGTGTGATGAAAAGATATGATCAAAATAACTTTTGGTAGGAATGCTTTAGTTACCTCTACTCTAATTGTGCAAGCGTTTTCAAAAATTATAACAGTTAACGTTCGAGAACGTTAAGTTGTCTTTTAAGTTCGTTTTCGTCGTTGAACGCATTCTTTACTTTTTATGTCATACGTTGGTCTATTATTATGCCTCTTTTAATCTTTGAATAGATTGCATTCATTACACTGCGGGTAGTGTCATAGTAATATTTTTGGCGTGCTGGTCAGTTCTTCTCTATCTGTCAACGATAGTACCCTGTATACAAAATTTTGCATCTGGAAACATGTCGTTCAAAGTTTTATTGGAACTATTAGACGAGGTAAGTCGCGAGTATTTCTTAATAGACTCAAGAGACATGTGAATTTTCAGTTGATACATTTGGATTGATGAATATTACCTTGTTCTATATCAGACCATTTGCGATCACCTGTCTATCGAATTAGTTGATATTCGCAGAAACCGCTCAAGCAAAAATCACCTATGGAAAACATCTAGTACGTTTCGTGAAGCTAGCTTTCGGCAGTTGAAAGCCTTTCACTGTGAAGAATAAGTTAGATATTAGTAGACAGAATTTAGCTTATAAAAGCCTATGGCTTTCAAAGCCAGGAGGTCGCATATCTGTACACAAAGCTTTCACACGTACAAAAATAGTAGTTTGAATATTCACAATCAATTTCACGTGAAGGGACTAACTGATGAAACTTTTTTTAAGCCTTCAGCCACAAAAGTACAAAAGCTTGCGAAACAACTTTAAAAGTGATCAGCAAAACTTGACTTACTTAACTTACTTTGATTAACTCTGATGTCAACAATATCGCTCGCAGTTCGTTTGCTGCTTTAAATCAACATGTCTGTCGGAAGAGCGCAAAAAACTGAAGTGAAAAAATGCTATATTTTGAATTTTGAGTTCCTTTTAACTTACTCTACAAAACTGAATTCGTAACATAACTCCAGAAATTCTACGTATGTGTTGTTTTGTCGCTTATTACAGCAGTCACATCTGTCTAAATCGCGTGTTGAAAATGACAATTCTGCTTCTTTCGACGGGAGTTTGGAATTTCGAAATGTTCATTTCCGATATCCGTCACGAAAGGAAAAACAAATATTGGAAAACCTAGATCTAAAAGTTCAAAGTGGTCAATCGGTGGCGTTTGTCGGTCATAGTGGCTGTGGAAGTATGTTGTATTGTATATGTCTCATTGTCATGTTGCAGTAATGTACATTTAGAGAGCACCATATTCAATCTTCTCTTACGTTTTTATGATCCGGATATTGGACAAGTACTGTGAATACTTAATAACGTTTTTAGACTATCTTTATGTTATATAATCATTATAGATCATGTTAGATGAAATTGATGCTCGTACAGTGAATATTGATGCGTACAGGAAACAATTTGGTCTTGTTCAACAAGAGGCAGTTTTGTTTGATATGTCAATCGAAGAAAACATTCGGCTAGGAAAATTAGATGCTACAGACAACGAAGTGGTGCAAGCAGCAATCTTAGCAAATGCACATGATTTCATTATGGAGTTAAAGGATGTACGAGCTCTTTAATTGATGAACTCTTATCCATTGTATTCAATTGTCTACTTTTAGAATTACAAATCCTTCTGCCATGACAAGTTAAGCGGTGGACAAAAGCAGCGTATTTGTATAGAGGAGATATTCAATTATCTTGATATGCAATTCAGTGTACCGCTTAAATAAAAGTCAGAAGTATGCGCAATAAATGAGTGGATATTCTAGAGCTGTGATTCAAAACCCCAAAATATTACTGCTAGACGAAGCCACATCTTCGCTGGGTGAACGGCATCTGCCCAGCTTGCCAAAAAACTTTTAATCTGATCCATTTGTTTTAGATAATATAAGCGAAAAACTTGTTCAAACTGCTCTCAATAAAGCACAAAAAGGGAGAACAACGCTTCTTATTGCACATCGTTTATCGACGATAAGAAATGTTGATAAAATAGTTGTAATGGATAAGGGAAAAATCGTTGAAACCGGGACCCACGATGAACTGATTGAGCAAAAAGGTTTTTATTACAATTTAGTCGTATTTCAAGAACAAAGCGATGATAATCTAGATATAGAACAGGGTGAGTCTTTCACTTGTGCCCTTGACTGATCACATCTAGTCTAGGATCACATGAAAAAATGTTGACGTCGGCGTCGGCAAACATAAAAGTCCAATAAAATAGAGCATTAGGTCGTTATCGATGAAAATGATATGAAATAAGCAGTCTATCATGTAACGCCAGAACGGGGTCACAAGCATCCTCGAGAGGCGACTATTCTGCGCAGCACAGGGGCCTAAGAAATTTCTACATGCAAACATTCTTCTTGCTGCTAGTGGACTAGCATTTGTGGCATCGAATACAATTGCGAAGACTGAACGAGAAAGCTGCGCCACTGGACTCTCCTACCATTTATTGCTCAGCTTATCTATTCCAATCAAAGGTAAGCTAGGGTGAATTACAGATGAATGTCACTTCCAATTAAATGTGAGCATTTTCCTTTCGAATCCAAGCAAATATCCAAAACTTCGACATCAATCGAGGGATGTCAGAGTTATTGCAATTCAGCTATTCTACAGAATTCACCGCTAGTACACATACATTTATCACTAGCCAACTTTGAGTCAAGCGGAAAAACGTATAGAATTCTATAGAATTCTACCTTACTACACATATACAACATATTAGCTTTTGATCTACAATATATTAGTTTTTGATCTGGGTGAGAATGAGAGAGACGTTCGTTAAGGGTGCCACCCTCTTTTTCCACCTTGTTGCCAAATGCGGAGCAACGTCCGATCGAGCTCAAATTTATACCAGAGATAGAACATCGGAAAAGAAAATCGATGGATTTTTGCCCAGAATTTTCTGGAATGTTATTCTATGGGTTTTCATCCGGTCACATTACGACCCCTCGAAAAAATGATCTGATCGAGCTCAACATTTTACCACAGATACTTCAGACCCTAACTCAGGTTCTAACTTAAGGACTAAGACAGTGAGAAACTGAAAATAGATGTATGATGAGTAATTATAAATGAGCAAGCAATACATAAACAGTTTGCGCATTTAATGAGATGTTAAGTTCATTTATTTGTTTAACGTCAATTAATGTTCGATATACTACCCTACGTGCTTTTGTTAAGGGCTGGTGGGAAATAAAGCTCGTCATCAAACTACAGAATAGATGGAAAAATACATAACGTCTTCAGACTTTCATGTTTTTTTCTCGCTCTTAGTATCAGAAAAATAAATGTAGAAATTTAGTCGACGATAGAATTTGGTGAGGATCTGTGACAAACTCGTGTGTCTTTCGGAAAAACCAGAGTGAGAATATATTTGTTCTGGAAGTGGAAATTTCACAATATATTCGACTTCGGCTGCTCTACGTAGCATTAAACATGATAACTAGAAGAAAGCTCGAAAAAAGGGTTTTCCAAGCGGATTTCTCAGAAAGGCTTTGGACAAGAAATGACTTTCTTACACTCAAAAAACAAGTCTATCCCAAATCGCGCTTTGAAACAACCTGAATTTGAATATTCGTTTTATGAGTTTTATCGAGTTTATTGATGTTATTAAACTTATGTAATAGACCGTTAGTCTTAAATTTTAGACTTTTCACGAGAGAATTTGTGGCAACGAACGACAAGGTCACACAAAATTTCACAGCATGATACCTTACTTCACCCAGTCGGGCGTACTCGTCATTATTCGAATGCATCTTCCAATTTGTCCCATAATGAAAAACAAATTATTCAAGACAATAGTAGCAATCGATCTGAATATGGAAAGTTTAGAAGCCTCTTGCTAATATTCAAAGTATTTCAATTGAATAAACCCGAGTGGTTATATATTTTGACGGGACTAGTACTGTCGTCTTTAAATGGACTTGAATTACCTATAATGGGGTATATTACTGCAAAATTATATTCGATCCTAGCATCTCCGGATGATCAATCTCAATTGAAAGCGATGACAACTATGATACTTATTGTTGGTACCGGATGTTCAATATGTCAGCTTTTTGCCAATCTTGCCTTTACAAAATCTGGCAATGACTTAACACTACGAATTCGATCAATGAGTTTCAAATCGATCTTACGACAAGAAATCGCTTGGCACGACGAGGAGGTCAATAATAGCGGAACCTTAACGACCCAATTGGCATCGGATGCGGCAGCGTTAGAGGTCAGTAATTTAAACCAGCAGCCCCAGTGGTATCTTTTTCCATTTTTACTGAGATCAAATCGCGAACATAACTTTTTTCCTTCTAACGAAAAAATGCTATGAAAAGGGTCATCTTACAATTGTGTTCGCGTTCTTGACACAGGTTAGAGACTTACACTTCGCAGCAAAGTTCATGTGCAATTAGGAAATATCCTCTTCGCTGCGATAAAGGCGAAAAGACGATTGAAAAGTTGCAAAGTTTCATGATACATATATTTCTTGAAGGATTGAAAAGGTTCAAAAGTTTATTCATTTTTTTATCTGGCTTAGCGGTTAAAAAGGTTTTTTCAATCAGTGACTGGAATAAATGTTTCAGGCCGTAACGAACCAACCAGTTCAACAGATCCCGGATCCAGCAACAAGCAGTCTGTGCGTTTTATTAAAAGTGGTGCCGCTTTGCGATAATCTTTAAAATCTATAACCGGATGGTTGTATTTCTTTGGCTTGGAACGAAGATCCGCAGAATTCGACACATTCAAAAGTGCACGGTTCCTAAGATTCTGCTCGGAATCTGGTTGAAGTTGGATAGAACTCCGATTCTGGTTCTACCAGAATCCGGTAGAATTACAGCAGAATTGGACTAGAATCTACTAATTATTAGACAGTATTCATAGCGAGTTATATCAGTTCACACTTAGATACTCTCTAAGAATTGACACATTCTGGTTCAATTCTGGTAGAACTTAGAGAATCAGACTTGAATTCTGTCAGAATTTAATCAGAAGTGGACCATATTCTAGCATAGTCGAACCAGAATCTACCAATCCATAGAGAGGATCTGTAGAGAGTTACAATAATTCACACTACTGCATGAGAGTGAGTAGCGATACTCTGAATTCTACCATTTCTGTAATTTTCCACGAAACTGTGGAAACTGACGCGAGTCTTTTTTTGTGGCTTTTGGCCTGTTTAGATGGCAGTTAAGGTGTGAGCAACAATATTTTTTCCAAATATAATTTATTGAGTAAGGTTAGCGTTAATGCATAAGTTCTCCAAGCACTTTGTTCGACTACCCTGGCTTTCCAGCTTTCTCTTCGGGCCAAGGTAGGCGTTTTAGACATGAGTCTGCTGTTTATGACTGTGCAGCTAAAACGAAAACATAGGCTAATAAGAGCTGATTGTTTTTATAAGTTATATGTGAGATGTTCAATTTAACCTGCCCATTTTACGTTTTATATTTTTTTTCTTGCTTTTTACAACTGAAATATAAGGATTTTTGATTTTTCAGAAACAATATTTTCTAGCTCGGAAAGAGATCTTACAAACGATTGGATAGACTAGACGTATAAATGAAGGATTCCTTAGTCACACTATCCTTAAATAAACAGTTAATAGGGTTTTCTTCTCTATACTAAGTATGTTGAAAAATGGCAAACAGCATACGGTATTTTACCGACCATTTTCTACATGGTACTCGGTATATATACGTCTATGTATATCAACGTTTGAGATTTTACCGGATACAGAGCCTGTATCTGAAACTAAAAGTCTCAATCGATGGGGGGCCGTGGAAGCTAGCACGAGAGGGAGTCAGGAGAGAATGTTTTTTCACTATGTTTTGAGTAAACCTAGAATTCCAAATCTTCATGTATACACATATATAAGAATATGGACGAAGGATGTAACCAGATAGATATCTAATACGCACCAAGGCTAAAAACGGCATTGGGGACACACGAGATATTGAACCGTAAAGAAGTGTCGTAGAATAAGCCGTTTCTGCATGACAGGTGTCGAATAAAACCAAGCGTCCGGATACGAAGCATCTGGAAACATTTAACCGGGCATTAACCAAAAAAATGTATGTACCACGCACCTTTGCAACTTTATAATCCTTCAGTTCTCCGCTCCTTCGGGAACATATACACGTTGCAACTTTTCAACTTTGCGGCGAAGCGGAAGTCTCCATGTTGTCGTTCTTGATCAAATCAATTGTGCGATCCCGTTGCAATTTTTGTTCCAAAATGTGACAGAATCGCTAGAAGATTACAGCAGGATCGTATCTAACTCGCGAATAGATCTTACGAGAGCTTTTTTATTGAGCTTCGATCATTCTTTGGCTTCCCCTGCCTTTATTTACTCTATCACAGGCTGTAACGATGTAATTCTTTTTTTGTTCTCTCCATTCGTCGTGAGAAGATCAGGACACATTTTGATGATTAGCTCGCGACGTGAGTTATCCACTGGTGTACAATATTCCTAGTGGAACTGTTTTTCTCAAGTACATGACTTTCTTGAATTTCTTGAGTAAGAATTTCATGACGTGGAGACAGTTCTTACTTATGCAAAACGCATTTTTTTTCCAATGTTATG